CAAACTTACTTTCATAGTGAAACGATGGCTTAGCCAGTGTTTTAATGCCGAATAGGGTGATCGGTGCAAAATCCATCCAATAGGAGCACATGAACTGTTCAAACATGACCGGTTGCAAAAAATCCTTCGGTCCATTTGTCTGTGTAGGCGCCTGTGTCTGTGAAACCCTGAACTCGTCTCTACAAAAAGAACGGAAAGAGGCTGAAGAGCGGCTGCTCTTAGGACCTCAACAGGCAATGTTCTATCCCTTCCCATTTGCCCTTGTACGGCTTCACAGATGCAGAAGTTTCATCCTACTCTGAGCTGAAAAAAGAAAATTTGTGGCCTCTAAAAGGGCATACCGAAAATGTGGCTCATACCCCTGGGAACACTCCCACCTCACGAGTAGTACGCTGTTTGGAGGAAAGAACTTTGCTTCATCAGGAAACCCAAAAATTCAAAGGCCCTTGGCTCTGAAGTTCTGCAAACAAGGGCGATATCCCCTGGGACTTTGCCTACCTCATAACTAATACGCTCTTCGGTGGGAGAAGTTCTTCCTAAGGGGAATACACGGGAATCTCAACAACTCTATCAATATATGGTGTAATATTTGCAGCTTCGGAGGGTTCGGATCACGATTATAGGCCTAATCATTTTTTAATTTCCTCACGGAATCATTGTTTAGGGGGTGTTTACACACCAGCTCACATTTCTCGTTTGCTTTTGATCTGTTTTTCAGCAAGATTTGTACAGTGATGGGAGAAGCCGCACCAAATTCAGGATCTGCTAATCCAATTTTTACCAAGACCACTAAACCAATATGCTATCACAGTTTGATTGTTTGGTGAATTCCGCTCTCGTGACGAGCCCAAAAGGCCATAAAACCACCAGATTGCATACCAGATGCTTATTCCCCTCCTTCCAGGACCCCAGTCTACTGTGTTGACAGACTTCCCGTTTCAGTGTTTTCAACACGCTGAGGGATTCTTGTTACATGAAAGTTTTAGTTTTTAGTTTATACGGCTCGTCTTCAATTTTTACTTCCGACATGAAACTCTATTTAAATTCGAAGAACGATGAGGACGGGTGTGAAGAGGAATTCATCACGAAGGAGGGAAGGAGAATATGGCAGGAAAAGAAACCATCAAGTGTCAAGCTCTCTTTTTTCCCCCGGCTGTGACTTTTGAGCACTGCTTATTGTTAGTTTTGCTGTTACATGCAGTACTTTTTACTGCCATATGTACCCTTTTACTGCCGTAACTCATGAAACTATCGCAGGGGCGGCACAGGGGGAGCGGCCTGACGGGGATGAGGTGGTGCAATTGAATCGAAATGGTCGCTTTGCGGCGAGAACGACGTCACGCATGGAGGAAAAACAAACAGAATGAAGCGTAAGCAGCGTAGCAAGTAAAAATTAGCACGAACAAACAAAGTAACAGTAGAATCATGCCAGAAATCCGCATACCGATCGAGGTATATGAAGAACTCTAGAACTACAATAATGAGGCAACTAGTTCGCGAAAGCCGCGTGCGGCGAATCGACTACCCGAAACCGATTCAACTGCCCATCCTTTGGCATGGCCTGAAGTTAGTTCTACCTATTTTTAGTAAAACACGTTTGCCACTCTGACGTACCTTTATTTCCCTTCCAGACAATGTGAATAATAGATCTCGATACAGATTTGTTAAGTCTATGGTGAGGAGACTGTGAACAATTCCGTCTTTGGGATGCACCTCGCACCTGACTTTCATTCAGAATTGTAGCGACGTTTTAAAAACGTACGCAGCCTATTCATGGCTTGCAGTATCTAGCCGCCACCCGAGTCAAAGCTTTTAACTTTCCAGGGAAGTCTTACACTGATCAACCGATCTATAAGGCATGGAAGATTCCGTTGCCATGATGGGTATCAATCCGTGATTCAGTCCCTGGACAGTACGCGTGACAGTGCCCCACTTGGCATTATATCACCCCACCCCCAATGTACGAAATTAAGGCTTGCGTTAGTCGGTTGCGTTGCTTAACTGACCTTGCACATCAACTACGCAGTAAATTGTTTGCTAAGAGTTAGATGCACTTGATGCAGCCTCTTCAACTCTTTGGCATTTGCGGTTGAACGATGGTTTCAGAAGGTCTGGTCGATTCGGCATGAAGTTCTGGATCCTAAATGTGAACGACTCGTTCTCCTCAGCTTATTGCCTTCTAGTTAGGCGGTTGTTTTGTTCTGGTCGTTGTCTCAGGCAGCAGCGTGTTTGTTTTTGGCTTCATTCAATTACTGCTCTATATTGTTGCTTTTTCCCTGTTACTTTATGTTGACTAACACGCTAACACAAATTCTGTTTGTTTGGGCGCACCAACAGTGCCGTTCAAATAAACAGATAAGTAAATAATACTTTGGAAAAATATTGTAGGGTCTAAAAAATAACCTGTGCCAAATACAAGCAGAAGTAACCGGAAAAATGCGGGTAGCCTGTCTCTGAATTGTGCCAAGTTCCTGAATGCAGTGCTACTGGAACTAGAGGGCCCCATTGAGCTCGTGTAGTGTAGCCCTCTCCCTTGCCGTCTTCCTCAAGGTACTGTGGAAACCTCAGTCCCTTTCTACTACTTACACCTCACCAACTTCCTTCTTGAGCTTCAAACCGACGACTTCAACCCGTGCCATCGCATGGTCCGCTTTTAGGTGTCCACTTTCTTCTCTTTAGGGCAACTCCTGCCGTTACTTGAGATTCGGCAAGATCGTTCTTGACCACGTCCTGCCAACTTTTCTCCTTTCATGCTTGGAATCTAGGAAATTCCTCCAATTTGTTTTTCAAGAAGCTAAACAACTGCAAAGTACCCATTCGCCGTGGATTGCGTTGACTTACATGATTCATGGCCAGACGAACCGCTTTTCGTTTAGCTTTTTTCTTGACAACTAGTACTTTTCAACACCATTACACCTCTTCTTACACCCCATTACGACGTTTGCGAGGATGAAGCTTCTTTAGCCTCAAACTGACTGCAGTGATGCCTCAAACTGACTGCAGTGATGGACGTAATTAAAGCTCTACGACTCCTGAACTTTTCTAACCATAAGAACACTAGCCTTCTAGTGAACTCCACCGACTGCTCATATTCACATCTCTTCTCATCTTCTTCATTCAGCTCAGTCGCTATGCAATTATTGCTTATAGCATGATTCTACTGTTAGTTATTTTGTCCTAAATTCCTTACTTGCTGCTGCATTCTGCTACATTTCTTCGCGTGCAGCGTCTCTCTCGCCGCGACGCGGCAGTTTCGTTCCTACTGCACCACACCCCCAAGAAGGCACTTTTTCAAAGGTTGCAGAAAATAATTTAATTTTGCCTCGTTCTCCATTGAAGCCTACAAAAAAGTAAAATGACAATCAAGTAATGTTCTGAACGTTCCAGCAAGCCGGTACCCGAGGTCCAGGTCGCCCTAGAGTAATGCTACAAAAGTTGCTCTCTTTCATCCCAGGGATGACCCAGCTGCTCTCCGAACTAGAACATCCTGTACTCCACCGCCTAAGTCACTTGGAACAGAAGAGCTATTTGGACCAAGACTCGTAAGTATCCGCTCGCTCAAGGACGCTCTTGTCTGGGAAGGGAAGATATCGACGTGAACTTACTTGCAACCTATAATCGACTCACACCCGCAGAGTTCCAAGAAGGTCATTGAGAGCGTAAGGAAACATGTTGGGAACTGCGAACAACAGTTTGTTTTATGTTACTATATCAAACTACCACCCTGATTTGGTCTTACTAATGTTCTGGGAGAATGCCCAAGTTAGTGTTGCCTCAATTCCTGGGATTCCATTACTCTTCCACAGGTTCCATTGATGTGAAGAAAAAGCCAGGAATAGCAGATCAGCACTAAGTCCTATTAAGGAGCGCGGTGTCTGTTTTGATTGAGAAGTTCGGTTAATAAAGGAAGAATGTTTCCAAGTTGAAGTGAAGAGCAACAATAAGAGCGAGTATTATAATTAGGCGTGGTGTTCTGTATGATGGTGCAAGCTGTGTGAATACACGACTACGTATTTCGTTTACGCTTGCGTTCAAACTTATTCAACACTTTTGTTTTAGCTACCTTTTTATTCTCTTTCTACATTACTACTGCTTAGTTGTAGGATAATGTGATGCTATTTTTATTGTTATACATGTCATCATTATTTCTGCCCCCATTTTTATTCTAATTTTAATGCTTTTTTGAGCTGGAATTATTTCTCCAGGGAAGGTCACTATGATGTATCTTGTAGTAAGAGAAGTATTTCTCTCCAAAAATATGAATAATCTACCGTAAAGCCGCTTCTATTTACTCTAATCATATGGTTAGTATCATTCGGATCGAGATTTCGATTTGGTGCTACTAATTACTTGGTTCAATTGCTACGCCCGCATCTTTCGATTCATGCTCCCTAATTTTTCATCTTTCTCCTTCGTTATGCTAAAAGAATTTTTCAACATTAAATGCTTTGTAAAGAGATACTTACTGCTCCACTTTTTTCACTTTCTCGTCTTTGATACCAGAATTTCAGGCATCACCTGGGAACATGAGTGACGATGAGGAGCCGGTGTCGGGAAACAAGCCGTTGCGCTTGCCCAAGAAGGCGGCAAAAGTCAAAAATAAGGTATATTGGAAATTGTTCATTTTTTCTTGCTCATTTCTTCTCACTTTGATTGTTAGTTATGCCTTGATATCCTTCCGAGCTTTACTTCGTGCTTGCATTTCTAATTACGCGCTCTCACGGTTACATGTGTTCCTTGTGAAATTATTCTAAGCTTTAAAGCTACCAAAGGGGTTTCCAGGAATTGCTCCCTATTCTTGACGGAATGTTTTCTTAAAGTTTTTGCTCAACTGCTCCCCTATTCTTGATAACTGTTTTCTTTAGGCTCCTGCTCAACTGCAAATCACAGCTGAGCAGCTTCTTCGTGAGGCAAAGGAGCGTGAATTGGAGCTGATTCCATTGCCTCCTAAAACGAAGATCACTGATCCCGACGAGTTAGCGGAATTCCAGCGAAAGAAGAGAAAAGAGTTTGAGGATGGAATCCGAAAAAATAGGTACAGTGTAGTCCTATGCATTATTTATGATGAACGTGAAAGATTTGGGTAAAGCACTGGTATATTTTAATGCTATTCTAGGTTTTGCTTATAGGATGCAAATCGCAAATTGGATCAAATATGGGAAATGGGAAGAGTCAATCGGTGAAATTCAACGTTCACGATCAGTATTCGAACGAGCTCTTGACGTTGACCATCGTTCAATCACTATATGGTTACAGTATGCTGAAATGGAAATGAGGTTTGTATAATTGGTTTTACGGCAGTTTTGACAATTCCTGTGAAATTGGTGGTGTCTTTTGTTTCCCGGTACCGTTCCACATTGGGCTTTTACTTGGCCGCTTCATTAAAGAAAATTTGAACAGAGTATCACTCAGCTATTGCTCCGTAGTTAAGGACGGTAGCAAACGATTTATGTTACTTCAAATATCCTTGTCAAGTTGAACGCATCTCGCCATCCAGAGAAATCATTTACAAATTTTTGTGTCACTAACCATCGCAGAAGGAATGTCCATGTCTAACTTTCCTCTCCTACTGTCTCATTATCGTGGACGAATTTGTTGGAATCATCTTGATCGTTTGTTCTTCCAGAAGTAAGCAAATAAATCATGCACGAAATATCTTTGATCGTGCTGTTACGATTCTGCCTCGATGTATGCAGTTTTGGCTGAAGTACTCCTACATGGAGGAAGTGGTCGAAAACGTTCCTGGTGCAAGACAGGTCAGTCCTACTGAGCAGATAGTCAAGAGTTTTTCTGTATGCCGTTTGCTTAGCAGTGTCAAAATTGGAGGGAAGGGGTGTTGAAAAGTAGTGTTCCTCCCTTTTGGTTATGACATTCATGATTAGCCAGAGCTTTCAACCCTTTGGTTCTGTATTTGATTGGAGGTGCAAGTGTATGGAAAACCTTGTTCAAAGTATTTATCTCTTGACCTCATATAATTCAAGATCTATGAACGATGGATGGAATGGGAACCAGACGAGCAGGCATGGCAAACGTACATCAACTTCGAATTGAGGTCTGAATCCAATTGTGTTTAGGAGATCGATTCCATTCCTTCTTGTTCATAATAACGTATGTAGGTACAAAGAAATTGACCGAGCACGTTCGATATACCAGCGCTTCTTACACGTCCATGGAACGAATGTCAACAATTGGATCAAGTATGCCCGATTCGAGGAGAAGCATGGCTATATAGGCAATGCTAGAGCGGTAAGGAATTTTCAACCGTTAAAAAGTTTCAGAATGCCTAGAACTCGATGTTCACGGAGGAATTGTTTAGGAATTTTTCAATTGACACGTATCATAACTCTGATTTGCCTTTTGGCGATTTCCAGAGTTTAATCTTTTAACCAAATTCCTCTAATTCTAAATTCTCTTCTCTGATTCCAGGTTTACGAGCGCGGCATGGAGTATTTTGGAGAAGATAACATCAATGAAAAGCTTCTCGTAGCTTTCGCCCTCTTCGAAGAGAGACAAAAGGAGCATGAGCGAGCGCGTGTAATTTACAAGTAAGTGACTTGTCTTACGTTTAGCTTCTACTACATTACTTGTGCATTCGACTATACAACACCTCGATGCCGCAATTTTTTCTCTATTGTTCTGGATCACTGATAAAATAGGAAGGATTTTAGGTATGGACTAGATCACCTTCCTTCTGAACGTACAGGGGACATTTTCAAACATTACACCATTCACGAAAAGAAGTTCGGAGAAAAGGCTGGTATTGAAGACGTGATTGTTAGTAAACGGCGCACACAATACGAAAAGGTAAGTGCTGTATAAAATTATTGCACTTTTATTTTAGCTTCTCATTTGTGCATTCCTTTACGCTCCTGCCAACTTCAGTGATATCACAATTATTGAGAAAACAAATTTGAATGGCTACTTTAATTTTAGCAAATAGCTGAAAACTCTTTCAACTACGATGCGTGGTTCGATTATCTGCGATTGCTAGAGAATGAGGAATGCCCTCGAGATGAAGTAGAGGATCTTTATGAACGCGCCATAGCAAATATCCCTCCTCATGATGTGAGTGGCCAAATATCTTCGTGTGATTCTCATTAATTCAGTTTGATGACAAGGCAATATGATCAATTTCAATAATTAAAGGAGAAACGTTATTGGCGACGATATATTTATTTATGGATTAATTACGCTCTTTATGAAGAATTAACAGCTCATGATATGGAAAGAACGAGACAGGTAAGGAGTTATGCCCATTCATGTGATATATCTAAGAGTCTCAATGCCCAGTGCTCTTCTAGCTGTAATATCGGTATACCCTCCTCAACATAAATATTAGACCCTTCTCCTCGTACTACAGTGATCACAACTGATAACTATAGATGATCACACCCATAGCCGTTCAATGATTCCGCTTGTTTTTCAGGTATACAAGGCTTGTCTCGATATTATACCTCACAAAAAGTTTACGTTTGCAAAAATATGGATTATGTTCGCTCATTTCGAAATAAGGCAAATGGATTTGTCAGCAGCAAGGAAAATTCTGGTAAAGCTATTATCAGTTATTGAGTTTTATTTATCATCGTACTCTTTTAACAGTTTTTCAACAGAAAGAGTTTCAAGAGCACTTTTTGGAAGATTTCTTTACTACGCTTCCTTTTTGATTCGACTGTATACGGGAGATTGCTTCATTTTGTAGGGAGTATCCATAGGAAAATGTCCAAAAGAAAAGCTCTTCCGGGCGTATATTGATCTCGAACTGCAATTACGTGAATTTGATCGATGTAGAAAGTTGTACGAGAAGTTCCTTGAATTTTCTTCGGAGAACAGCAACACATGGATCAAGGTGAGTTATTAATTTGTGCGTATTTTGTCTGGGTTTCAGAGCAAATGTCGACCTTTGATGAATTCGCTTTATTTTTCATTTTTACATTATTTCAATCTTTGCACTAAAAATTATTTGGAAATATCTATAAAAATTTATACGAACCAGTGATCATTTATCCAATTTGCAACATGTCATCATCATCATTTTGCATGCTTATTTCCTATTCATTATCAGCCAAGAAATCATGAAGCTCGATTTTCAGTTTGCCGAACTGGAAACACTTCTTGGTGACGTGGATCGTGCTAGAGCTATTTTCGATATCGCTATTCAACAGCCGGCTCTAGATATGCCGGAGGTATGGTTTGCCTAGTATCACAGTTCTTTTTTCTATTTTTTACAGATTTTTGGATGTTTTCTGCCTTTTATTTTTTGTCTGTTTCTGGAATAGTAGATCTAGAGACATTCTATATTCTCTCACTCTTGGGCGTTCTTTATAACTCAACATATGCTTTGGAATGCCCATTATAGATTTTATGGAAAGCTTACATCGATTTTGAAATCAACGCCGAAGAATACGAAAAAGCACGCGATCTCTACGAGGCATTGTTGCAGCGTACGAATCATATCAAGGTTCTCGATCAAGTAAGTGTGTTCGATGAGCCCCACTGATTAGTGTCTTTGCAGGTTTGGATCTCGCTCGCTGAATTCGAGCTATTCATAGGAAATCACGATGGAGCCAGAAAGGTTAGCAGCATCGATTGCTCGTTAAGTGGTTGATTTCCAAAATGAATTTTGCAGGTTTATGATCGAGCAAATCGTGCGTTGGAAAATGCTGAGAAAGAAGAGCGTTTAATGCTACTGGAAGCATGGCTAGAAGCAGAGAAAAAGATTGGTGATATCAACGCCATACAAAAGTGGGTGATGCACTCTCGAATACCCAACAGATTTTTTGCTCAAAATTTCCTTGTTAAGAGTAGAGAACATGATGCCACGCCGAGTGAAGAAACGGCGGCAAATCCAAACAGAAGATGGTGTGGATGCTGGATGGGAAGAGTATTATGATTACATTTTCCCACAGGATCAAGGTAAGTTTTCATGGACAGGCAGCTTTCACTGTTCTCTTGAAATGGGGTCTGCTTACTCGAGAGTTATTCAGTGATTAGAACTGAAAATTGAGTTGTTTGAAAGTAATGTGTTTTGAGCGTCTCAATCAGCCATTGTATCGTTTAATTACTTTTATTTCAGCGGCCAAAGGATCGTTCAAATTGTTGGAGGCAGCAGCACGATGGAAGCGGCAGCGTGAGCAAATGGCTAAGGTTTGCCCATCACACATGGATCTAACAGAAAGACTACTTATTCTTTTGCCGTTCAGGAAGCACAGGCAGTTACTGATGATCGGGATATAGAACGAGCAGGGGGTGATGAATCAGACAATGAACCGAATGATAAAGTCAGAGAAGGTATTTTTTTNTTTTTTTGTACGGATTATTTTTTTGGGATGGTTCTTTACCCATCATTTGCGATTATTTATTTTTCTCTGAATTCGTATTTTCTTCCTTTCACCCAGCTCATGATGTGTTGTTACGGATCCCGACTTCATAGAGAGGCCCCTGCTCTGGAGTATTTCATCTGTTCTATATTAATATTATTCTATTGTTTATTGCATTGTAGTGCGAGCTGTGAGCACCTTTAGTAATCTCCACCTTCTTCAGTTGAATTTTATCATTCAGGAGACAGCGACACGGATTTGGAAAATAGTAGTAGCGATTCCGACTCCGAAAGCACGTCTAGCTCGTCCGATTCAGAGCGCTCAACGTGATATATGTATAGTATTAGTATAACATTTGGGCTTTGAATACTCCCACGGCTGTTCCCCATGTGATCTACCGGTCATTGATATCGAATGTGTATTCAGAGATGCATCTAGCAGTCGATTGTTTACCGTTGTTATGTAAATAGGTGAATGTTTATCGAAATGCAAATTTGATAAACGGGAAATCTGAATTTTCAAGTTGTGAATGCTTGCATAAGCAGCTGATAATAAATATTGATTCGTATTGGTTGCAACAAAATTTGCATAGGAATTTTCCTTTATTTGCCTATCCTGACTTTTCTTTTTTCATTTCGACGCCTCGTAGAATTCATGCAATCTGGTTAGTGTAGATTATAGATTCATGAAGGCACATTAGTCAGGGCTCATTTCGTGTGAAATGTGCCGTTCTAATGAAAAAACATATGCTTATTCACACTTTGGCAACGGAGATGCAGTTTTTACTTTGATTCGTGTTGGGTTGACGCCAAACTGTAAGAGGGGGATGTTTGGGCTCGATGACCTTGGCGAACATCTTCTTAATTCCTTTGCTCAGTGTTTTAATTAATTCATGCTTGACAGCTAAATGTCTGTTGGGAATCAGATTTTTCTACAATCTTGTTGCTTTTTAAGTGGTCACCCAGTACGTATTTCCAGCATAAGTAAATAAATGAATAATAAATAAGTGGTTGAATCAATTGAGCGGCACACTTGCGGATCAGCTAGCTGTACAGTTGCAATATAAGTAAACATATGTTTTTCTAGTCAAGGCAAGACCTCCAATTCTGTGACGTCTTGTGCCCACTTTCTCTATTCTTTAGAACTGCAGCGGTGTCGATCGGGGTATTCGTAGGAGGATTGTTTAACCGAAATTCCATCCATGGAGTGAAAATCGTCGATGTAGTCATGGTAGCTAAATCTGAGTCTTGCTGTGCAAGGTTCCCGCTAAAAGCGTTATCAGCAGCAAACCGTACCAGTCCTTCCTCGAAACACTTGAAATTTTTACCATTTTAATGATTCTTCTACATGTGATAGTTTTGGTTCGCTTTTTCTTGGATGAAGCCTGTCATTCTGGCTATTTTAAGCTCATTCTCCTTGTAGCGTCACACTGTAATGCTTTTTGATAGATCAAGAATACTCGGTTTCAACTTTAACGTTTGCAGTGTTTTCTTTTGTACTTCCCGGCTGAAAATTGTGAGAGGTGGAGTCAGATGTTCCATTAAAGGTGCAGTGTTCGTTTTTCCTGATTGTAATCTCGCGGCTACGACGTATCGGCATCGCAAGTGACGAGGTACAGTCTTGAACGACATAATTCTCCTTTGTTGGCGATCGTGCATCCCATATGCTTAGCTGGTTTATTAACAAAAGATTTTTAGCTATCGCAGTACGATATCAAGTTATCCGTGAACGGCTATAAAGGATGTACTCGGACGGAGTTCGATTTTTTCCTCGGCATGGATTACCTGTGAGTCTTTGTTCCTACGTGCTAATGAGTTGTGCTTCTTTTTTTCTATATGAAGCTCCAGATTTATGAAATAATTAATCGTTCGAAAAAAGCTCGGTATTTTTACTTGGAATCACATCATCATAAATGTCACGCCTATATGGCATCGTAGTGACGAGAATATCTCTCTCTATGGTTTCTTAATTCTCTTCTGCTCATTAATTTCCTTTTCCTTTGTTGTTCTCTGACGTGAAAACTTGGAGAAGTTCCTTGATAAGAGAGTAAATGGAACTCTAGTTAAGATTCCCGTAAAAGTACCTTTTTTGTCTCTTGATCCTTACTTTATACACTTCTGGCACGATATTTTCTCCTTTTTCTTGATACTTGGTTGGATGCTGTGCCGAAGTTTGTAACCTTATTTCGAAATTTCTTTCCTAAGGACCCACTTTCTCATGATGCACTCATTGTCGGATTGATTTTGAATACACTAATAATGTTATGGAAATCTATTAATAGTATAATTCATGGAATCTCTGGTAGCATACAATATAAACTAAATAGGCATGAGAAAGTCGTTTAGCTGGGGTCATTTTATTTCTTTAACTTCTCCGGGGTTCGATCCCCGGACGATGCGTGTGTGATAGTGCGCCACTTGCCACTACACCACTTTTGCCCAATATTATTACTCAGTCTGTCCATATGATAGAACTTGAAACTCATGTATTTTTCTTCACTCGATCTTCCCTGATGGTGTAGTTGTCCGCAAAAGAGTACGGTCTGGAATGTGGTAGGAATAAAATGTGATGTATGATGCTACTCGTTAAACCTGCCTTTCGACCAACCCCGTTCAATTTCTCTGATCCGCTTCACTTTCCGCGATAATCACTGGTCTTTGAAGTACGATTGAAGTAAGTGGTGACCGTGCGTGGTGTCGGGAAGATTTGAAATCCCCTAGTTCGCGCTTGGTCTTGTCTTTTGGTCGTCAGTACCGACCACATTTGGCTATGGAGGCTCTTTTGAGTGGGATTTCGCAAATATCTTGGTCGTTTTTCTGTGAAAAAGGGCAAGTAGAAGGATCAACCGCGTTTGCAGGCGTAGCTAGTTGGAGCTTTGAAGGGCTAGCTACTTAGAGGTAAGTGCATATGTACTTCCATGGATAAGCATGAGGAACCATGAGTTGGTCTCAGGATACGTAGAAGGGAATGAGTCAGAACATACCTTTTTCATCTTTCCTCGACGTTATCCATTGAGTTGAAGTTTGATTCACTGAAATAGTGTCTGCTCGANCCCTCCAAATCTCATATTTTCGCTCTCGTATAGCTTAAAGTCTGTGGCAACTTGGTGCGCACTTCGGCTCTGTTGGAGTGCCTGACGAGCCCAGCACGTTCCTTATTGGTTGGGTTGTCACATAGTTGACGATATACGGATGAAGAGCGCTAGTTTTTCTTTACGTTCCACTACTGAAATGTCAGCGGGATTGAGAATGAGCCAGACTAATCATCGGTGTACTCATTTCTAGAAAGGATGGATTTCACATTCTCTGAAATTAAAAGAAGGATGGCCATTTAAACTTCTGGAAATGCTACCCATCTTAGTTCATTCCAGAACCTACCATTGCAATCGAAACTGTGTTGGTGGTCCCCAAGATATACTACAGTAGAAGCCCTGGGATGGAATGACAGCTTATGGAAGATATTGAAAGGAGGGTGTTTTTAAAAGGTTAAACCATGGTTAATGAACTGTACTAGCGAGCATAAAATTATCGCATAGAAGAAGGCGTGTCAAGTTTTTTCACTAATGCATTATGTCGTAATCAAGCTAAATGGTTTCTTAATTGAGACCCATGCACATTGACAAAGACTGCGAAGATGAATTAAGTAGAATTAACTCAGTAATGAGGGGATCTTTTCCAGAAATTTCTAATTCATTCATCGTTAGAATGAATCTTGCAAAACAGCTATTTCAATGTTATCGCGCTCAAACTGTTCTTTGTAGTTAAGCATTACACTTTTCAGTGCGGTCGTAGCAGATGGCGGATAATCATCCTCTGGATTACGATTCTGGTTGATTTTTAGTCGTAGAAAATTCTGGATGTTTCTGAGTTCCTTTTCGGTTGTGCTTCCAGCAATTGAAAACTATGGGATTGGCTTCAAAACTTCCTGTGTTTCTTTTTCTTGCTCTTTAATTTGGTACTCGCTTGGGAGTCATCGCCGTTTTCTTCGGGTAATGTTGTAATTAACACTTTACAGGTAATCCCCTTAGAAATGCTATACGGCCCGGAAAGAATATGGCGTTATGCGACGTGGTATTACGAAAAAGTAAGTTTTGGCTGGATCTTAGTAGCGGGCACAATTATGGTTGCGTGGCCGTTACTTTATGGACTTGACTCATAGTCGGAATTCCTGAAAAGGAAAACAGTGGGCTTATAGGCCAGTAAAGGCTAATTAAGTAGTTGGCTATCCACGTTTGGATAGATTGGCTTGCTTGCAAAGGAAATCCAGGAATTTCCATGTACGAACTGTTTCTTTCACAAGTTCTCAACTTTTTTCGANTTTTTTCGAGTGAATGTTCTTTTAGTGTTGGCGTACCTGTTTTTATTAGGATACGCATTCAACTTGCATTCAAATCGTGGTAGTGCTTTTGGATACGCACATAACATTGACATATAAATTGACGAGCAGTGACCAGACGATGAAAAAATTAGTGCTTTCAATCCCATCGGCTAATTCGGTGTGGTCAGCTAGGGCCGATTATCCGGGCTTCGATCCTCGGATCACGCTTGTGGTAGCGCGCAACTTGGCTCTACACCACTTCGCAATCGAGCTTCGAATTAGCTTTTGGATCTTTCTATTCTCTGTGTTGTCTGAGGAAATGGTCTGGAAGGAAAGCACTGACTTGAGCTTGACCGGACACCCGCAGTCAATGTAAAGGCCACATTAATCAGAACATTACTACGATTCCGAGTGGAAGTCGAAATGCGGGGCGCATCCCAAAAGCGAAGTGATCAACTTCGGAAGACGATCCTTATTTATTCGTGTGCTGGAGCCAGAACTGCCAAGGGGTTTTGTTCTATTTTCTTTTTTCTCTTTTCTTCACTTTACTGAACAAGGTGAACTTTCGAAAGAATCTATGTGGATTTTGTCAAACCTTTAAATGCTCTAATATGACAATCGCCACGGGTCCGACGAGGATTTCATATGGAATTAGTGACGATATGAATAAAACGAGACGATTAGCTGGTTCACTCTGGAACAACTGTTTGTTTTCGCTGGGCGAGCTGGCAAAAGACCAATTGGGGCGGGTCTGCACTGGAGAGTCAAAGATTTAGTACAACACAGTTGTTCTGCCCAAATAGTCTTAGCATGTTGCTCAATAATGTGGAACTAGGTAGCTTGAACTTTGGAAGTTCGACTGATTGGCTGATATCTGGCAGTGGAACGGTATGCAGTTAGAAGTGTTTGATTTTTGTTGATTCAGACTTTCTCTCACCAGTCAGAAGTTGGATGGACCATTTCCTTCGAATTTCTGACCATATCTTCCTATAAAAACCTCTTCTTTTAAAGCTTTTCGGTATTGTTTTTCTGGATTCCTGGTAATTTATAGACTTTGGTCTGCGTGCGCTGCACTGGCCCATGTGGCAGTTGAGTAACCAACGTAATGCTGGTTATACATAGTACCGTATGCCATGGAAAGTAATTTGTAAAAATTGAACAATATTAGGCTCACCTCAGCCCTTTGACTGCCTTCATTTTATTTGTTTTCCTATTTTCCTCAATGTTCGTTTCACCTGTGTACACTCTCTCATGATGCGCCATGTGCTTGGCATTTGCTCGAAAGACTAGGAGACGAATTGTTGCATCGGTCATGATGAAATGCCTCACTGCGATTAAGCCTTTTCGGTGGGTCATACAGCTACTTTGCAACAAAATGATTCGAAATGAGTCTGATTAGCTGTTGGTCAATATGTGACCGTTGATGTCACCCAAAGATGAAGGATAAGAAACAAGGACACTTCCCAAAGTATAATCGTTATGAATACTTCTGGTTTGGGAAAAATTGCACGAAGAAACAGAAGGAAGTTCCCATCTGAAACTACTAGTTAATGGTCTTTATCATCTTGTCTTATGACTGTTTAATCGAGTTTCCCACATGAAATATCGAACTGCGCTACCTTCCGAAATGGAAGACATTGTAAAGGTGACATGTTGATTGAGAACTGAAGGATTTTAAAGAAGCTGGAGCAAGTGAGAGTTCTTGATGGTAACTTCTTTTCCTCTTGCCTGGAACATTCTGGCCAAATAGTACAACTTTCCGGGGCCACATAGTTATACGTACGCATAGGTTTGATCTGATACGTAGCTATATTCCCCACACGGTCAACCAGCTTTTATCGCCCGCATATATCGTCCACTTCCACCTTTATAGACGATTCATATCGCTTTCTAGTGAGGATTGTCTTGACGCTGTTATGTAGACGATTCGAAATCGTCCTTGAATCTTGGATTCTCCTTCGGTCATCGATTTCCCTTATCTCCATCTCACTTTCTCAAAGAAGTCTTTATTTTTGCCCTATTAGGAATTCTAGTCCTTATTGAAAATTCTTCGCACCGTTGTCCCACGCCTACATGCTTTTTTCTTCCTACCTGTTCACCCATTGTCATCATAGAATTCATGGGAAGGCATGGTCAAAGGTGATGGGGTTTGTTGCAGAGGTGGGTGCAGTAAGTTCGTACCTCTTCTCAACTTTTTGGTCTGAATTGGTGTTATCAGTAATTACTATCATTTTTAAGTATAGGTCAGTTCTCACGTCTCCAACTGATTCCTTGACTTTCTTGTATTAAATCGTGATCAAGCAAAATTTAAATTTTACTTTCAAATTTGATTATCTTTGAATAGCAATGAACGTCGACGCTGTAGAAATGAACTCAACAGTCGTCGCCATCGCTTCGCCCCGATCCCTGACGTCCATCATGGACACAGTGGCGGGTTATATGTCATTTTGGAACGTTGTCCAATCAGTAAGTTATCTGAAACAAAAGCGTTTAGTGAAAGTTCGGAGGCAAAGTAATAGAGGACCAACTACCACTTTTCACCGTTCAACTGAAATACCAAGTAGGCGGCATGGGCGACAAAGGCGTCGGTGCCACTTGTGGCCCCCTTTCTTCCACAGACAAAAACCCCGCATATTATCTTTCCCAACAATCAGGAGTTCACACCTCAAAAAGGATGTTGTTTTCTGTAGTACAAGTAGCTGTTTAGGCTCGAGAAATCTCACCAGATGAACAGCCATGGATCGTGAAGTTGCTCATCATAATTCTCGGTTATGCAACAGTGATTGTGCCGTCGTTTTATTTGATCAACTACGCCCGTCGGAAGTATGCGAGTAAGTAGAAACTAGTACTACGTAGTATAAATGAGAGTATGTTCTCGCTGGGATCTTTTGAGCGAGATTTCCATTTTTGGTTTCTAATAAGAGCCCTTTCATAGATTCTCCTTTTCTGCTTTCGTAGTTGAATTGCCGATTAGACAGTTCCCAAATGTGTAATTTACTAGCTCTGCAATTGCTGTCTCGTGATAATGTCTTCCTTTATAAATATCTAATGAAGGCAATAGGATAGAAGGGATGAGCTTTGCACCAATTTAATATCTATGGGATACGCCATGCACTCGAATCCAGTCTATATGATGGCGCTTGAAGGGTCTCTGACTTATGCAGCGTACTTTGCTTCAGGCTCTTTTCTCCTTTCTTTTCCCCAAGCATTTGGGTTTGATGTGACATTTGATTTTGAAACCAAATGTTACAATTTCTTAAATTAAAAGTAGTCCGTATTGAGAAGAATGGATTCCGACATCATTGCATGAGTTCTTAAAAAGTCGGGTTTGAACAGCAGTCGACATTTTGGCGGGTAGAGGTTGAGTGTTACATTTGGAGAATTGGTTTTTTATGGCGACAAGTGTTTGCCCGATAAGAGAAAAAGACAATTTCAGTAAGCGAGCCACGAAGTACCCTTGGGCGATTTCTACGAGCATTCGCTGTGGGTAATGAAAACTATCAACTGCTTGATGTTGCACCAGCATTAGGGAAGGGGTCGCAATCTGTTCCTGAAACACGAAATCTTCTTAAGGATGCAATTTTGCTGTTATTTTTCTTTGCTGGTATCCAGGTATTGTAAACTTTCTCTATTTTTTTCCTTTCCGTTTTTTCCCCTTTGGTTTCGACTTGTGCTTCATTTCGAAGATGAAGTTATTTTAAAAAGTAAGACTTGTTCGTATACAAATGAATTCAGTGTACATTGGTGATGATGGGCTTTTTACAAGAGCGTATTATAACGAGAGGCTATCAAAACTCCGGAAATGAACAGGTTGGTGCAGGTTTTCAGTAACTTCATGTCAGGATTTGGCGTTATCAGTCCCGTTTTTGGGATGTGCCGCCGCATTAAACTTCCATTCAGAATCGCTGTAGCGTATGAATGCATGTGAGGCTTATACAATGACTTGCGGTGCCCATCCTATGTATAAGTCAGTGCTTCGGGGTCGGTTACATGGTCCAAAACTCGTCTTGTATAGCCCTACACGAGTTTGTACCATGTAACCGACCCCGAAGAATGTCAAGTTTGTTTTGCGTGGGCTGGCAGCGATCCACTGTTCCAACTTTAGACCATGCTTTGTGTTTGCCACTACACCACCTCCGCCCTAACTTCAATCTGTATATGAATTGTTATGAAAGCGCTACACACGGGATAGCGCACCAGCTCGTGCCCCGTATGACTTTTTGTTTTTTTGATCGGAATAAAGAGTCCGTTCAATCGAGTTGGGTGTTTAAGCATCGGAAAGTTCGAAGAGCTTTTTCATAAAGGAAAATCTAGAAAATATTCAGCCACTTAACCTGTAAAAGCAATTCTCTGCGTAGTCAAGAACTCTTTAGTTTTTCGCTAAAAATTTTCAGACGAAGCGTCCTGCGAAGAGATCTAGCCTCACTCTTGCTCATCCCTTCCCTTCCCTTCCTTCCCTTTAAAATTCTGAACACTTGAGTTTTGAAAGCGGTTAGTTTTTATTCAAACTTCTACTTTCAGCTGGACCAGTTTGGAGACGCCCAGTTTCTTGTTTTTTGTAATCGAGTAGTGGCCATAGTCGTGTGTGCCATTGTTCTTACCCTCACATGGAGAAGGTAGGCAGCTCAAAAATCGTATTAGCTATTCGCTATTTAATGAGTATAGCTAAAATAGGAGTGTAGCTTGCACTTCTCCATAGTTCCCCACGCCTCCCGTTGGGCGGGGTTCGTAAGAAGGGCGTAGTTTGTGGGGCAGTTCATTTAGTGAATACTGCTCATTAGCTGAATCGTGTTTCATTTAAGTAGTTCAATCTCTTTTGTGTTGCTTTACATGAGGGAACGGAGTTCGGGATAGGGAGAGGGGTGGAATTTGTGGCTCATAGCTATCTTCTGAGCATTGGGTATGTCTTCAGAGTCCCCTTCGTTAAGAAGAGAAGGTAATACTTCCTTCGCAACAAGGAGTCAAGTCGAATGGATTGTGGATTAAAATTATTTCCCTCATGGATGCCGTTTATAATACGCTCTTCTGATCCGTCCTTTTCTCTTCTCTTTTTCAAAATCAAAATTCAAAACTTCTTTGATTCCCTTTTCAAGGCAACCACCTCATGTGCAACCTTTATATGTGCATTCGTTTACGTCGATCTCGAATACTATGTCCACATGGTGCCAATACGAAGCGTTAAAATACGTCTCATTCCCAACTCAGGTACTTGCTTGCTGGCTACTGTTCTTCAGAACTTTCCATTCATTTTGATTTTCCATGGTCCTATTCTTTTATTCAGACAATTTGCAAAACATCGAAAGTGGTGGTGACGATGCTGATGGGACTTTTAATTCGTGGTCAGAGATATACATGGCAGGAGTGGATCTGTGGTGGAGCCGTTGGTACCGGTGCCAGTCTGTTCTTACTAGGCAGTGGTCGTAGTCGAAAAGAGGGCGTTGTGACATCAGTGAGTTGGAGGTTTTATACTTCTTTCGCGTGTGGCGTTCAGAGGGCTGAATGAGACGTGATTGCAATGAATTTTATGATTCAACTGGAGGTTTGACCTTCAGGTTATTTGAGAATAGGCGATTTGACAGCGCCAGAGGAATAGGGGCATCCTGAGATATGCTCGACCGCGTGTTCTGTACAGGTTTTTTTACTAGATTCGGTCAGGCATAGGTTAATAATTGCGATTTCGGGAAAGAAGAACTATTCACGTTCAATTCCTTCTTGCTCGCAACTTCCGGCTGGACTAAAGGCTTGCAGAATTCCGTTGTTTGATACTTGTGTACATCTCATTAGGTCACTAGTGGTGGAGACATGAAATAATGCTTAAGCGGGATGGCGTGCTGGCGATAAACGAAGGTTTCGTTGTACCTCTTGCCTTTCAAGTTGATCCAACTTTTTTCCCATAAGCGTATGCCGAGATACCTGTAATTCAAAAATACTGCCTTCAACCTAAATGATGAGCAAATCCTTGGGGATAGCTAGGCACTCGAACGTCATAGTTAGGCATTCGAACGTCATGGGCAACGGAACTTCTCCCCGATTTCCTGCGTTCGCTTTGCGGCAGATCTTTTTTAGTCGTCTCGCGGTTTATTGCAAACTTCTGTATTCTCAGGTCTCTGGAATGGTGCTGATGATTGGCTACCTTTTGTTCGATTCCTATACATTGAATTATCAGAAGAAGTTGTTCGACAAAAAACCGAAAATCTCAAAATACCAGGTAGTTAGCAATTTTTTGCGGTCTTGAGGATGGATAGAGAACCGTTAAGGTGTAAAATGAGTGAGGGGGTAGCTCCAACCTGACGACTTCGGATCAGTTCCCTAGTCGTGGCATCCATGTAGGGGCTAACCTCCGTTACCCATACGAGCCTATGTGGTCCGTTTCGCCTGTGATCATGAGGGGATCTCTTTCAGATGATGATGGGTGTGAACGTATTCTCTGCTATTCTGTGCGCTGTTTCATTACTCGAGCAAGGAACACTATTCTCATCGATAGATTTCGCCTTGGAACACAATAATTTCTTTCGTGATGTGTTTTTCCTCAGTCTATCAGGTGCTACGGGTCAGGTACGTCAACCCTATTTCCAAGCAGTTTTTCATTCTTTTTATTCGGATTTTTGAACCTTTTTTTGAAATAAACTTTTTTTCAAATCCAACCGTTGACCTAATTTCGATTGTACGAAGAACTTATATTTTACTTTTATACTCTTCATTTATTCGAATTAGCTACCATCTGGCTCACTTCATAGGGTTCATTCAATTATTGTCTTCGATACTGGAATTTTATTATTTTTAAATTTTTTTTTCGTGAGGCGTTGCTTTAATTTTCAGCTCTTTATCTATTCGACAATTGAGAAGTTTGGCCCCATCGTCTTTGCTGTGATGATGACGATACGACAGGTAATTTTCGTAAGGCTGCAACTGGGCATCTCACTCGAGCCACCTTCCTTTGATTATTGATTGATGCTATTGATTGATCATGATTGATTTGTTACAGATGCTTTCTATATTACTGTCGTCATTCTATTACGGCCATTCTCTGTCCAGCTGGTCTCTTATTGGATTCGGCATAGTGTTCACGGCCATATTCCTCGATATATACCGGCGATACTTCGAGAAGCGACGAGCCGTTGTTAGACAATAGCAATAGATTCTTCGATGTTCAAGAAGTGCCGATCTGCCTAAGTGGCCGGACTGGGGGTTAACGTATTTGTGGCTGTGGTTATACTCGGCGAATTCGCTACGCGCTACACAGGCTAACATAGGCAGCGCGAGCAGCTGAGCGTTGCTTTGGCTCCTCCTTACTTTTGTTACTGAGTTCTGCTAAAGAACAACATCTGAGCAGCTGCCCATCTCTGCGAATTCGCCGAGTATGAACACTGTAGTTGTTAGCGCAGTTGGGTGGCAAGGGGTGACCCGAACGGTATGTTGCCGATGTGACAACTAGATAAAGCTCCAATAGGCATATGTACGGCGAGTCAACTAGCAAAGGGTCCGTTTGCAGGGGCTACCGCTACACACTCGCCACAGTCGGCTATTCGTTCGGCTTTTTCGTGTACTGTAGATGTAACAACGATTTGGTAGACTTGATAACTTTTAAAAGCTGTCAGGTTGAGTCAGTACATGGTCCTTTTTCGCGTAATATGCATCTTCCGTAATTCTGAAGTGTCTGGGAAGTTTGTATAGGTAATTTACTAGATAATTTGTTGATTTCACCTAAATTTTATTAGGTGTTTGTCTGTTTGTTGGTAGCCCACTGATACGAGGACTTGATTCGTGCATATCTTCATTTTACTACTATCATAATCCGTGCAACCAGCAATGAAGGCGAAGATCGCTTTCTGATGATCCTGATTCACCTCCTAAAGGCTTATTGGGTACTGTAAACGTGCACCGGGTAGTACCACCCACATGCCAAAGCGATTTTTACATTAGAACTTTAGAACCCTAAATAATTTTTCCGATGCCTACTAAATTTTGCCCTTTATACAGCAGCACTAGATGAGAAGAGATGGAATAACATGGAATACACTGTCCACTTAAACTGTCTTTTGTGTACCCGATTAATTTGACATATTACAAGGTCCTTCAATGATTGTATAGTATTATGTCGTGTGCATTTCCTAACAGCTTCTCGTTGTTTTCAATCTTTATTATTGAATTCGTCAGTATTGATCAACTGTTTTTGTGATATTTCTTTCCCGATTGTTTTGACGTTACGGGTTTTTTTATTTCGTGATAAATGCAATCACTATTTCGCTATTGGGTTTGATCATGTGACTGTTGGGTCAACGAATATTTCATTAGACCCAAACAGTAATAGGTGACTATCAGATATATAGTGAACGGTGCTCTATATACTTGAAGGCACAGTTCACCCACAGTGATTTCAAGGTATCCTTTTTCGGTTGGAAGGCAGAAGCATCGAAGTAGAATAGCGCATCGATGACGAAGAAAGCGAAAAAATCAAACAATTTGGGAAAAATATGGTTCTATAAAGTTAATGGAAATAGGAATGTACGAGATTTCCATGACGGATTTGGCATGGTAGTGTTATTTGGACGAGATTTCAGTCGATGCAATTGCATGAAGAGTGTGACTGCAATGAGCCAAAACGTTCAGAGCTGTTTTCCACTGTCGCCATGAGTCACGACTAGGTTTTTGACTTCCCAAAATGCTTTCCCTTTGTAAATGGTGCAGCCTCTCCAATGCCGTAAAACTCGTCCGCCTTCGGGTGTGGCATACAGCTGATGCACTCTTTGAACCCCTACAATGTCCTATCTAGGTAGTCTTTCCATATGACACCGCTACGTATGGCACATAGGGGACCCCAGATTAATCTTGGGGAAATTCTCAGAAACCAATTTCGCCGCGAAGTGTGCCTTCAATAGTGCCTGTTTAATGAGATTTAACTATGTCGCTCAGTTGATACTGACAAGATCAGATTAGTGAAACTTTTCTCTTCAATTTTCAAGAATTTTGAACTTCGAGTGACTGACGGCTGTAACGATCACATTGAGGATTCGGAGTGGCTCTCTATTGAGGGCAATGCCTTCAGAAGATCCACCGCGAATAAAGAAGCATGAAGAGTCTCACACGAATGTGAAGCAGCCATAGTACTATCTGAGAATCTTTTTATTCAGGTTAGTTAGGTTATTTTTTTTTCGAAATACCCGGTGACAACGGCAAATGGTAAAAACTTGTGATGGTGGAGATTTTTTGAGCTTAATTGAATCTGTTTTTGGGATACTTGACTGTACTTAACCTCCATTCCTTTCGTGAAAGATGTATGGAGGAATTAGACTAATGGCTTATCCCAAAAGCAGAACCGGTTCACCTGCTGTTTTAATAT